TCACAGCTTTGTCAAGCTGCGTTTAACTTTCTAGATCCATCAAGAAGTCACTGAAGTGACTGTGGTGGGGCTCAAGCAACGTTTTCAATGCCACTTGGTTGCAGCAACAACAGCTGCAATGGCAAGCAACTATTACATTAGACCGACCATAAACCATGATGGCCAAAACGGGAGCCCCCCTTCCATCTAGCAAGGGGTTTGCTGTTGGAAATTTTCAATTCAAAAAATAATTTTCCGTTGCCCTGCTGCCTGACCAGACGCTAAAACATGAAACTGGCGGTTCATTTGACCCGATTCTGCTACGTCTGGCTGCACTTCCTATGGAACAATCTGGATCCCATACGACTTCTAGGGTTCTCGAACTCAGCTTTATAGTGCAGCTTTTGATGTGTGTCGCCATGGTTCCGGTATCCAGAGCGCGTTTACAGCCATTCTTCTCACGCCCAGCACTGGGGCCCAGTGGCTGACCTTTTTACGGTTGTTTTGTTCGTTTTTTAGGTGTGTTTTCGTTTATGGTGCCCGGTGTGGGTTTTGTAATACGGTTACAGTTCATTTTTAATTTCAGTTTTGGGTTAAAAGCCAGAGAGAGAGGCAGAGGCATTCATTGACGGCCGCCAAAGTGACAGATCAGATCCTGACACACATATCCAATAACTGAAGCCACTGACCATAGGGTGTTCTCCAGTTCCTGCACTCACGTACTTGTTTCGACAACAATTGTCAGAAACACATTCGGCCCAGAAACTGCTGCCACTAGTAAGACCCCTCCAACTGGTTGACTCATGTAGAGCGCTACAAAACAACATAATTATTGTACATATTATAGCCAGATACGAGGTGTATATGGGAAGCAGTACTGCCCAACTCACACTGAAACTGCAATACCCTAAAACACATTTTAAAATACTACAATTTATTTGAAACCATTAAAACCATTAAACCTTAAAAACATTAAAACAATGTTTTCTAAAGACATCAGTTGTTGGTTCTTATACTAAAAAGAAAAACATATTGGAAGTTGTAAACTTTGCTCACAGCTTCAGATTGTCTGTTCTTTAAAAGTAACTCGAAAAAAAAACGAAGCACTAACATCCTAGGATAGTCAATCAACTTCCATAAGAGTTGGAGCAAAAAAAAAAGCTACAACAGAAATAATTAAAGAAAAAACTGCGATACAATGCAGAGCAAGACCGAAACCAGTTTAGGTGGAGCATGCATGGTCCCCTCCCCAAGATGGATGGATGGATGGAACGATGGATTGTTGTGTGGAGGGGCCCCGGCCCCCAACAAGAGCGAGAGTGTAAGACAATAAAGCAGCTCAAGAACACTCGATTGCAAGTGTGTGTACCAAAGAGTGGAGGAAACTGGAAACTGGAGATGCAAGAATTCCATGCGGATGCCCCACAAATGATCAAGGAAGACCCCGCCGAACCCTTCCTTCCCTCCTCATTAGTGACCATTAAGAAACGAACCCAGAAGAGATTGATCTTCGGCGGAAGCGCGGAAGTTTAACTCTTTGGCAAAGGAAACAGCCAGAAGCACAAGCCAGAAAAAGTTAGTTACGCCTGGTTAGGCCACCATCTGAAAGCTCAATTTGGTAAATGGCCAAACAGTAGCCACTAGACAGCGACGTACATAAACTGAAGACCACGCAACATCGGCATTACGAGGAGGTGGGCCTGGCCCCCACTTCAATGGTGCTTTGAGGCCGTAGTCGTAGACAGAGCTGTAGCTATAGCTGAAGCTGAAGCTTGAGATGGCCACTAAGAACAATGGGCTCGCTCATCTTCACTTTGGGCCGGTCGGTAGGTTGGTCGGGCCACTTGAGGCGCTCATTGTGCATGTTATGCTGGTGGGGGAGAGTGGCCCTTGGCTATGTTTTGGCTTAGTATCACGCACTAGACCCGTCCGTCTATGTCTGTCTGTTTCCTTTCCTTTCACACCGGTCGCTCGCTGTCATTCTCTTTCCATTGTTGTTGCGGTTCTTGGGTGCCCAATGGTATACCCTTTCGAAGCTAACAACGATTTTGATGAGCACTATGAGAAGTTTGCATCTACGACAGCTATAATGTGCTGAAACTTCCTTTATCGAATCATTTAAACCAGCCCTCTGTTGTTTTTAAAACCGAATCGAATTCTTTTATATACATACAAAATCTTGCAAGTGTATCGCAAGCTTCGGGCTTTATAGCCAGAGTTACCATCTTGTGGTTGTTTGTTTTGAGTTCTTGTTGCTTTGCCGTTGTATGTAAATTTTGCATTGAAATATGTAGGTACATAGTACATACATATGTTTGCATGCATACAAATGTATTTACTCGCATGCACATCGTGGTTTTTGGAGGTCCAGGTCTGTATCTTCTCCACCTACCTCCCCTTACAACGATTCATAGGGCCCCCTATGCGAAGCTACGCTCGGCTCGGCTTCATTGTTGCTCACTTGGCCGCTTTCGTAAGTCAGTCTCAATGAAAATCTAACGCCAAAGAGCATTAGCTTACAAACAAAGTATGTGTCGGCTAAGAGCGAATTGGAAAGAGAGTTAAAAGCTTAACTCTTAAAAGTAAACACAGTTCAAAGAGACAGACAGAGAATGAGAGAGAGAGAGAGAGAGAGAGCAGGTAAAACTGTACAGAGTTGTCAGTGCATCTGAAATGCATCAGGAACATATTTGTATGTATGATGTTTGCAGGTGTATACACATACATACATACATATGTATGTTTTGTACACTTTTTGTGTTAAAATATTACATTATTCTTGAACCAGAAAATCTAAAAAATCTAAATACTACTAAAATAAGTACAAATCGCATTCCTATTAGAATGTCAGCCCTAACAATATAAATCTTATCTTCAATCGCCGTTAAAAAATTAGTTAACTTTTATCTCCAACACCCCCTTGCACATTTACGACCTACCGCTTATCGGTACCTTGTAACCAATAATGCACTCGAAGTTGCTTCATTGGATGAATCTAATATCTGCCATGCACTCGACAGCTCTAAGCCGGAACTAGCTAAGGGCCCTATCTGTCTCTCTTTGCAAACTTAAGAGAGTATCCGGCGGTACTGCATGACATAACTACTGCAGGTATGGGACTACACAGGCTGACCTCTTTTTCAGTTACCAAATTTAAGTCTCATAGAAACTGTGATAAACAAATCAATCATTAAATTGCTTTGTTAAGTACTTAAAACATTTCAGCTGCCAAGACTAAAGCCATGCATCGAGAGAGAGAGAGAGAGAGCGAGCGTAAGAGAGTACAACTTAGGCAAGCAAAGAGCGAGATAAGATAACTTACTGTAAATTATACCATGCGTTGTTGGTTGTTGTTGCCAAGCTACGAAGTTTACCCCAACGAAGGTGCTTCGCTGTCGCTGTCGCTCGTCGCTTGGTTACTCATTTGTTTTGCCAATTTTCGTAGCATTCTGGCCAACAGCGGAGCAACGCGCGATTCAGTTAAAACCGAACTTTCGCGCCAGTCAGTCGTTACCAGCACGCCCACGCGTCGTTCGTCCGTCGACACCAGCATTGTGCTTGAGTAAAGAAAGCCTCAAAAATCGTAACCAGAGAACCGAACCGAAGCCGAGCGGAGCGAAGCTAGCCAAATCGAGAGCTGAGCTGGGCCTCACGAAGTGCGCGTTACACGGTATCGGGCATCGGAGAATCGGAAGTTGTTCTGTTTTGGAGTGGAGCGTTCATCGTGACCGAGGTTTCTGCCCCCTACCTGCCCATGTACCTACTTATGTCCATATATATACATATTGAAAAATAAACCAAAACTGAAGTTCATTTGCGAAAGTGGAAAGTATCTCTTAGATACTTTCCGTTTTGGATGAATTAATTAGAGTAAATCTCATGCAAAGCGCGTTTATTTTGTTGTTTTGTCAATAATACGCCAAAGTCGGACCCAAATCTGACACATATTACGGAAATGCACACAAAAAACGGTTGTTGTGCCTGTGTGTATTTGTGAACTGTGTGTTTGTGTTGCTAACCAAACAAATAACTAAAACAAAAACTACAACAAAAAATAGATGTATAAATGTTGGCCAAAAACGTAGCTTCAAGCGTATTATATGCAATATTGGTTTAAACAACAAAGCTGCTGTTGCTGTGTTGCTGCCAACTGCAGCAGACCGTGAAGTGCTTGCCAAATGAATTTTCCATTTAAAAAATCCAAAGCTGTGATACAAATATAAACCATTTAGAAATTTTTACAACGCTTAAACTGTTGAGGCAGATAATACTGAGGACTTTAGCCCCAAATTGCTCTATTGACGTGACAAGTGTGCTGAAATGGTGTCTGTAAACTCCCCATTATCCCACCCATGAACCTGTATATAGAACACTGATCCTACGTGGCTAGGCTTAACACAAGGCAGTACTAAATATCCACTAATAACCCTTTACACTAAATCATACATTTTGTATATTATTTCTTCCAAGCTCACCATTAATATCGCATCAGAATAATATCTGTAATAAAATAAATATACCCCTAAAAAAACAACCCAACCCAACCCTTACACAGTGAAAATTCCCCAACCTTCTTAAGACCATAAAAAACTCCCTCTCCTGGTTGTGGGGATGGGAACTTAACCCCTCAGAGACACCCAAAACGCATGCAGTTTAGGCTTAGTTAACTAAAGACGGGCTAAACAGAAATTCCATTTTATATTAACCCTCTTGCTTAACACTGTAGATACTTATATGTCATCACCATAGCCCCCTTCACTGCCCCCTTCTGAGACAACCCCTGTGCCACACCTAACCATACCAAAATTCAAGTAACCGAAAACGTGCTTGCTACTGTTCAACGTGACCAGCGCTCCTTTTGGCTTTAAGCCCAGTTAATGTGCTCAAATGGTTAGCCCCCCTCTCTGTCTGTACGAATATCCCCACCATGCTATACATACGAATGCTATAATTCTCATTAAGGCTATGTACTTACTTGTATATCTAACCCGTATTCAAACTGCAGTTAATATCGTCGTACTTGGGTGCTGGAATCACTCAAATCGTAGCTAAATCTCGACCTATGCTGGGCTGCATTTGGGGGCAGCTGCTGCCCATGGAAATATGTTTGGTACTGAGTCCATCATCGTCTTGCAACATCAAAACCAACAACAACAACAACATCTACAATTACTACTACTACAACAACAACAAAGTCATCTGAATACCTAACCTCGAAAGAAAAGCGATCAAAATAACACCCCAGGAAATCAACATAAATCCAAAACAAAAACCAAAAACCGAAAAAACCGAAACAAATCTTGCATCTAACTTTGACTCGCTCTCCCCTGTGTGCGTGTGTGTGTGTGTTATGTCTGTTTGCTTGGTCCATTATTGCTCGTAATACACCACCACTACTACCCTGCCTGCCTGCCCGCTAACGATCATGCATAAACCAAAGCTAGGTAATGCTATAACTGCTGCCGCCATTGCCTCATCTATATCGACCAAAAACAACAACAGCAGCAGCAAATCGAAACGGGCACGTCAGTTCAGCAAGCCATCATCATTGATTGGCGGGGGAGGAGCGGCTGCTAGTGAATCCCTCTACGACCATCATTCATCACTAATTGGCGACTCAATTGATTTAGAACATTACATCAGCGCCATGGAGGCTCGACGACACGACAACGAGCCGGATGTTTGGGCACAACTCCAGCAGAAGGAGTCGGATATCCTGCTCGCCGCCGAGCTGGGCAAGGCGCTGCTCGAGAAGAACGAGGAGCTGGTCAAGCAGCAGGAGAAACTCATTGAGGATTATTCAGCCAAAATTGAGGTGAGCTTTGACTAGTAACTAAAATATTTTTAAATTATATTCAATCCTTTTGAGGCTCTTGCCACTTGTGTCCCTGCCATTGAAAAATAGCCTTTAATTGAGTAATTTTGATTGACTCATCGGGCGATTTGCATTGATGATTACAGACATATGGCTTCAATAATCCATAGATATTATTTATACATGCATGACCTCTCCGCAACACATTGCTCATATTCCCAGAACGGGAATTAAATTATTCATTTTGATATTGATTTTTTTGCCACACACCTGTGTTCCTTCTGGCCCACCAGTCTACGAGTGCAGCTCCCAACTGCTGTCCACTGCAATTGAGCGGGGGGGCTGGAGGAGAGTGCACCATTAAATATTTAGACAAACAAATACGGCTGGGGATTGTCCCAGGGCATGTCATGGCGCCCAAACGGGTCCCTGGACGATGACAAATGTGCGCAGTAAACTACTGAACTATATATACTATATATATCACGTAAGGCTATCGATTTTTTTTGTTGAACAGCAACACTCTCTGGAACAGTAAAATTAAAGTTGAAACGTCGCAGCATTGTTTTTTCTTCAGTTTACCTTTTCACAAGAGTTTTATCAGGCACTTGGCTGATAGCGGAGCAGCAAAGCAAAGTCTGTTCATAACACCTCAAATGGCCAAAGTTTTTTCTGTCTGCTGCTCGACCTTGAACCGAGTGTGGGTGGTTGCTTTGCACCTGTTCATACACCCTGAAATACTCGAATGCTAGAATGCCAATAGAAAGAAATAGAAATTCCCGATAGGCAAACACAAACAACAACACCCGCTCCAGCTATCACTCGAAGTAAGGTTCAAGTCAGGGCTCAAGTTCGGGGACGTTCATTAGCATATTACTACCACCAGTTTTCCCCGTATAACCAACTTCCTATCCCTAACAGCAGATAGTTGGGCTAATGTACTTTTGTTGACCGAACCCACAATGTTTTCTTATCAACTACATTCATTGGCTGCTCGCTGCTCGCTCGTTCCAAACCTCCTACGACAATTAATGGAAATTCAATGGAGGGAACCGAAAGGTAAACGGACTACCAGGAAATGCCTGGAGTGGAGGTGGAGACACACCACCAGATGGTGTCAGTAACCCAAACAGAGGACACGGCAATGCGTTGAACTTGAATCCACTTTCCTGTACTGCGTACACATTAATTTGTTCGTTCACATATTCACGTAGTTGTGCGAGTAGTTGCTGGCTTAGTCACTCTAAAAGAGTTTTGTATTTTCCTGCGTGACTTCATCTTCAGTTGGAAATGAAAGTGGATGAAGCCCACGTAATATCCTTTTAAATGAAGTCAGTGGGGAACTTAAAACTGTGGCTTAGACATTGATCAACTTTCAGGAGTTTGTTTTATTCTAAGCTCTTTTTCAATTATCCTAGCATTCAAACCGAAACTTTTAACTTAATTGCCAACCTTTTCATTGTAATTCCCCAAATACCTATTCATTTCCCATGATCCATTTTTCGCTTTAGCCTAATGAAAAAGGCAGGTCCCAAAGGTCAGCCAATTGTCATTTAAATTATTTCGTTGTCCATTCCATTATTGTATGATCTGTCTCTCTCTCTGTCTCATTCTGTTTGTCGTGTGGCTGGCGCATAAATCCCTTGGATTTTGTCACCTTGACTTTACCTTATGGTGGTCTGTGGTCGGTCTTTTCATATAGCAAGTGACGCGGCCACAACTTTGTTCGTTTGTTCGCTTTGACTCACTTTTATTCGCGTGTTTTTGGCAATATGCAAAATTTTGTTGGTCTATCTAATTAATTTCTATAACGTTTTGGAGCCCACAATGTCACTCCAGTGTTCCCAGCCAGTTGTGTGTTGTGTTTGGTCAGCCAGGCCCATCTACATACACAACGATTAGTGGAAGGCCCAGTCTATATGGCTGACTGACGTAATTAGACTGGTGGTCCGCTCCGTCGGTTGGTCGGTTGGTCGGTTGTTGTAGGTGTTTCTGGCTTTGGCTATAACTTTAGTTGTAGCATTTTTTTTAGTTGTTGTCGATGTGGTCCGAAGCTCGCCCATTTTTTTTTTTTGTTGCTTTTTGCGGTCTGTTGAAGCGTGTGTGCCAATTTACGAGCATTGGCTTTTATTTTTAGCTGCGATTCTGGATTTGTTTTAGCATTAACTTTTATATGCCACCATACTATAATATTGTTCTGTGCCCCATTCTTGTATGTTAATTAGCCAAGACAGGCCTTGGGGCATATAGAGCATAGATTTTTGGTAATTTAAAGAATTTATAAAGAAAATCCCACAAGTTTCATTCACTAGAACATCAGTTGAAACAGTTTAATATCTACCTATATACAGAATACGAAACGCGCTCGCTTTTGTCTTTTTGTTCCAAAATTCTTTGACAATATTGTAAGCCATTTATGTAGTTTCTCGAATCCTATCTAGTTCACAGACAATCACCCCGAATAGCACCCAACTGTTGACCATTGTTTGGCTACCAAAACGTGTTTGCTACGCCCAAGTCTGACTCTAAAACTCGCTTCAAGCGGGGGAAGGAACAATTGAGCGAAGGGGAAAATGAAATCTATTGGAGCCAGGCATCCCTTTGTAGTTTATTTTAAATCGCTCGTTTATCACGATCTACCAATTGTTGCCATTTACTGCTTGAGAAATTTAAGCCCTAACTTCGACTCAAAAGTGTTGCAAATGGCAACCGAAAATAAAATATATAATTTTCTATGTGGGCGTCTGTGTTGTACGGTTACGGGGCATTTAAATAATTCAAATCTTTGCTTGCCTTTTCGAAAGTCTACGCCCCTGACTCTGTCACCTCCACTCACTCAGACTTTAATAGCTTTAATAATTGTTGTACTCAAGACGAAGGTGTTTGTACAATTATTCAGCAGTTTCTAAGAAACTTCTTTTGTTTCTGTGCGAACTTGTCTTTCGGAATGCATTTTGTATTCATCAGAACATCAGAACACAGAAACAATTGCTAAAAAAAAAACCCAACATTTATTGATCATCGAAGGGTGTATAAACTTCGTTGCGTTACCACAGATATTTTTCATACTGGTTTTCTGTTTGATTTATATTTATATATCTCTAGCCTGGCATTGGTTTAACTGGTTTTGGTGCAATTTACTTAACTGCTCTTAGTAGAACGGCAAAGAGACAATTGATTGCAATTTGTTCTTTGTATCAATTACGTTATTAAACTGAAAACTTCTACCCCTCTAAACAAAGAATGGAAAGCTAATGAAAAGGTAATTTCATTTAAACGTTCTCTGATTGGCCTTGATGGGCAATTGGCGGTTTGATTGCTCAAGTCTTTCTCCCCGAGCAGGATATGGTTAAATATAAGTTATAGAAAATGGAAGTGAAGAACTATAATTAAAGTCCTAATGAGAGGAAGTTCCATGAAGGAATGTGCAGTTGTTTCTCTAAGAACTAGCAACTACTTAAGTTGTTTCTGTATACTCGGATAGTATCGGATGTCAATCATATTTTCGCTTCAAATTAATCTTAAATTATCATTTCCTGTAATCTATCATGCACTCCGTACAAGTTAAATCGATAATGTGCAATCGCATACGCTGCATATCTGCAGTTACAAATGTAAAACCAATCTGAACGAATCACGTACCTCAGTATTACTCGTATAATATCTGCGTGTTTCTTCCGCCTTTCGATCGAGTCACACGCCCACACGCCGCCGCCCAACAACTCACTCGACTGACCATGCCGACCGTGGGGGCGGATCTCTTGAGGCGCCTCAGAACAAAGCCCATTATGCTTATGGTGTTGCCTCTCAATCGAATCCACCTACTGGACACCTGCTGCCTCTCCAAAGGTTAGATAACCGAAACGCGTTCTACATACAAATGCTGCGGGGAGTTAGTGGCTTGCCAAAAGTAAATTTCATATACGAAAATAAATTTATAAAAACTCTCCTCACGTCGTCCGTCCACGAGTCAGGTTTTTTCTGATTTTTAGGTGAAGTCATCAACACATTGTGGTTGCTGTTCCATCGATTTATCGACTGCAAAAAACAAGCAAAACAAATTTCAAAATTAACTAATTTGCATGCGAATAATACGGGCTATAATCCACACATACATACACATATTCCCACATACATACATACATATATATCGTATATCGTGTCCATCGGATTTGGTGCAAAAACCAGTTTGATCAATCCACTCCAGCACAGAGCTGCTTGTAATCTTCTTTGATGAGTCAGAGACCTGAGACCGAGACCCGAGACTGAGTGGAGCTCATTGGGAACGAACTTACTGAGCATTTCTTCAAGTACCCACTGGCCTCTTCTCCTTTTGGCCCGATTCGCTGTTCGCGTATGCAAATTCATTCACTTCACGCCACGCCACAGAACTCTGTTGGATTGTTTTCTTGTTAGTTTATGTTTTTTGGCTGTATATACGATCAAACTGGGGTATGGGTATGCGTATGACCCTTCGAGGTAGGAAATTGAGGTCGTTCGACATAGGTTTGCCCTGATTATTATTGGACATTAGCCAGCAACGTCACCCCATTCGCATTCGCATTCGCATTTGCTTTTGGCCAGTAATAGCATTTCTTTTTCGATTTATGGATGGAATGGATGACTGCTTCGTTTTCCCCCTCGTCTGCTTCTTGCGTGCCTGCTCGTACTCGTACTCGTACCTTCTGCTACCTTCTTTCATTCCATGTTATTCCACGACAAATTACTTTCCTTATTGGTCAGTCTGCCTTATTTCTCACTTCTTCACTACTGCTCCTCATTCCATGCTTTTTTGCTGTTGCTGTTGGTGTCATAGGGGGGAAATTGAGTTTTTAATGCGGATTTTCCGGGTGGGCACGGTACGTACGTACCCTCTTCCTTTCCATATGCCTGATAATGAGCTTTATGGTAAGTCTTGACAAAAACTGTTTCAAGCGGCGCTTGAACTGGTCTCTGGGATGGTCCGTATGTAAATATCTCTACCTGGATAGTTCTTATTT